TCAATAGAAAATCACGGAAATTAATTAAAATATATATTTTTCATTTTTCATTATTTTTTTTTTTTATTTAAGTTTTATAGTTAAGTTCAAAGGTCTCACGCATATTTTACTATTTATACATATGTACATACATTTCAAAAATCGCTTCTCACTGACTGCTAATAGTAAAAAATCGAATATTTGTTTAATCTCAGTATCATTGATAATTTGATCGGTTGGATCCACTTGTTTTACGTATTCGCACATTCACGCGGATTCACGGCCATCCTCCATAAATGTCTCTGTTGGAGATTAGAAAGTACAGCTAGGCTATCAGCCGATACAATCAAGCCTTCTGTTTAGTATTAACACGCTAACCGTATTATCGATCATTCGCGGTGAAATTATTACAAGGCCATCAGTCGATATTGCTGAATGAAAGAAATGAAATGTATCGACTTTTCATAGGGTACAACATGTATACCGGGTGTCGCGCGGCAATGCGCGTATCATCGTCTGATCGTTCAACAAGCGCCTCACGGGCATACACGTGTGCAATGCAAACAAGAGCGAGCGCATAAAGACGTTGCACAGTTGGGTTAGGTCACCGAGATCGATGCATTATGCAACAAGTAGTCAAACTGAAGTGCAACGTTCAGCCTATTCGCGCGAAAATTCCATAAATATAGTTGACATTTGTATATAACATTTGTACATCTAGCTCTAACATCGTCGATGGTACGTCGATAACGTGCAATGCAAAGCACCGAAAAAATAGTTCTTATTGTTCTTTCTTGGCAAATGATGGTTAAACCTAATCGTTGAACCTAATCAAAGATGATGCACGTAACGTACAATGCAAAGCATCGAAGAAATAGTTCTTATTGTTCTTTCTTGGCAAATGATAGTTTCGTCCTTGTATAATCGTTGAACCTAATCAAAGATGACGCACACGACGTGACATCGAGTCAAATGAATTTTATTTTGATTTGAATTAAATGCAATTACACCTCCCCGGCTCGAGTCATTTCAATTACATTTTCGTCATCGTTCAATTACATTGACGGTTGATTCTCCGCAAGTTTACTATTTCACAGAACCAGCCTTTGGTAGAAATTTCATATTGAATGTTTGATTAAATTAATAACATCAAATATTTTATGTTTAATATTTCAATAAGCAGAACGTTGGTGACTTGAATATTTCTATGAAGCAGATTATTATTAAGGAAAAAAATTTGAACTTTATTTGACTGTATGGTTTTAACAACATGATGTTGATAAATCTGAGAAATTCAATAAATTCCCAATTCAAAGAATTAATTAAGAATTCTCAATTAAAAATTCTTTGAATTAAGTAAAGTATCAGAATATTTTCTGTGATTCATACTTGCTCTGCCTAGTCAATGCTTAATGAAAAACATAAAATTTGAGTGAAAAACATAAAATTTAAATAAGACATGAATTGATATGAATTAAAATTGTGTAACAAATTCACGTGATGTAATTAAAATACACCAATAATTCGTATTTATATAATACGCATATCAATTGCTTTCACAAAATTTGTATGTATATATTATGTATTCTATAGTGTAAGTTTATACTGTAGTGCAAACGTATGTATTCTATATGAATGTCAAGTGTAGATTGTACACAATATAACCTCTAATACTTTCTACACACATTTATCACAACAAGAAAATGAAATGCTAAAAGTAAATACTCACAGGTACTAAGCCGTGTATCCGTGTCTATGCCGCTGTATGCATGTTGCCAGCTTCTCAGCATTTCACACCGTTAGAAGATAAATCCAAGCAAACTTCAAGAAAATTACACAGCATGCACTAACACACGAAACGTAACCACTGGTGCACACCCGTTTTGCACCAGGGTAAAGTGGTATAGAAGAAAACGTAAAATCCTGCACTTAGCCTTAACAAGAACATATGATATTTGACAATAATCAACCGATCCAACGAGCATCGATACGACGGATCTCGTGTTCTGCTTACTTTCAATCTTTAACTTTCTCTTTCTTTTTGAAACGTTTCAAGGATCTGCGCGAGTCAGTAGCTTGCGAATGATACTTCGAAGGAATGCAAGCCGCGGGTGCGACACTATTGAGATCTACGTCGTCTGTCATAGGCGCTACCTAGATTCTAAAGACTAGATGTAAAGCACGTAGAAGTAGCGTACATGTGACGGAATCAGTTATTTATTATTAACCCCCCAGGCTATACGCGCGAAAAGACGTCCCTCTGCAAGTGTCATGGCGCCATGTGCGCTCAGAGTAATTTTCTCTCTGTTACCAGATGCCGCCGTCTGTCAATACGAGCGCTATCTATGAAAATGCAAAAATACTCGCGCAACTAATGCCATGCGTTATTAACGTGTCGGTATTGCAGATTTGGAGGAAATATTTTTTAAATTTAAACTCATAGATAAACTTAATATATAAATTTCATATCAAATATTGATCAATATAACTTCATGAATTAAATTACTGTATTTAAAAAGATAAAATATAATGCAATTGAAGTGCAATTGTAATAACAAAAATTATTAATAAATAATATCTTGTAGAAAAGAAACTGTTTTGCTTTTTGTTTCTATTACCACACATTAACTATAAATGTCGACATCTACTTTGAATATATAATACGAAAATTAAGAGAAACTATTAAAGAATATAAGTACTATTATACGTACTATAATTATACTAATTTGAACAATTATTCTCGTGTAAAGAACATTTAAATAGGAAATTTAAATACTCTGTTTTGTTAATGCAATTCTTATTTAACCAAACATGTCAAAGAAGTATTTAAAAATGGCCGCAGCTATGAAGTAACAAAAGTGATTTTGAAATTCCAATCGATATATTCACATAATCATCGTAGTAAATACGTCAATGGCCTAACTTATTTATAGTCCATCATTCTTTTTATTAGTCTGCCAAGAATTTTGACGCAAAAGCGTGGTGAATACCAATTCATACTTTTACACTTCCGTCTTGCACGTAAAATTTTGTCGAGACGAATTTTGAGTCAGTCGAATATTTATTATTTGAAATGCATCTTTTTGCACAATTGGCTCTGTAATACTTGCAGGTAAATGACACCTTCCTACTCGCATAAAATCACGTTTTTTTAAAATCGCAAAAGTTGTGCAATAAGGTTAATTGTGAAAAGTCAACAAACAGGCAGGTACTTTTCCAAGACTGTAAGAATATTTTGTGCAAAGAACATGTCGCCCGGTGTTAACGATGGTCCACGCAACACAGGCACACTCCCGAAAAGCAATAGGAGAAATGATAGAAATAGAGAACGGTCAGCTGCTAATCAATTTGCAATCCGTTCTGCTTATCATGGACATACACAGCACTCTAACAATTTGGTAAACTAATAAAAAAATATGAATGATACTTTTTATTTTTAATATTTTATTTCATATGTGTTTTTTTTTTTTAATCAAAAGTCCTACTAGGAAGTAAAAGAGAATTAAAATTTTAATAAATTTTATTATTTTAAATAATGTTGTCATATATTCAGATAAAATTTGAAAGAATATTTTAACATTCAATAATATTCAGCACTATAAAAAAGTAAAAATAACATTAATTTGATGTAACTTGAACTTTCCAAATGAAAACTTTATACAGCAATCTGTATATAGTAGTTTAAAAGATAATCTATTAATAGATAGCTGAATAGTGGGGAACTTCTCTCTAAGAATACATATCCAGATACAATTCTACTTTGAGGCAGTAGAGTTTCTGTATTTCAGTCATCATTTCTAGAAAACACTGACAATTATTTGTGTGTTTAATTGATTTTATAAATCATATGTGATAGTACCAACTGGATTGGAAACCAGTCAGTGAACAAGAACACTTAAGGATAACAAAAAACAGTAACACAAGATCAATTTCTTCAGTACCATCTACATCTTATCAAGATATACCTGAATTTGGTACATATCTAACCGTATTTATTTTTGTATTTTTATATTGCGTTTATTAATAATTCAAAAATGTTATTATCTTAGTATCATTTGGTGGTCGACGACCATATAATTACAGTGCAGAAGAATATTCGCATTGGCAAAAGATGGTTCCTCCAACTGATTCTCAAACACAATCTCCTCCAAGACTCGAAGGAACAAAACCTTCAAATGTTGATAAAATGGTAATATATTCTTTTTATGATACTAAAATATTTTATTTTTATTTTATCTGCAATATTCCAAAACTTTTATTGAAGATGTTTAATGTATTATAGCCTGATAGGAGCCAAGTAGAATCACGTTTAAATCAAATCAGAGATTATATCAGAGTAACATCAACTCTGATGGATTCACTTAATCAGTCTAGTGATCCAGTAAGTATACAAGTCATTAGTCATAACATAATGCTTGTGTATCTTTTGTTATTGTTAAGTATTTTTCTTTACATATAATTATACTATAGCGTGCACAAGCTCAAAATGAGAAGTTAAGTAGAATGGTGGAGGATCTTCATGACAGTGAAAAAAAATTAACTAAACTCTTGGAACAATATCAAAATCATGGGATATTTTGTGAGGTTATTGAATTTATAGAATTGTTATTTACTAACTAATCAAAGGGTGTATATAACTTTTTATGCATGCCTCTTTTAGTTACAAATTTATAAATTATATTCTATGTGTGTTAATTTAGTTTACATATAGTTAGTATCTGCTTTACTCTATAATAGGTGAATTATAGAATTTTTTAACTGTTTCTTTTCTAGAATAGTGAAAATAGTAGGGAAGATGGAGAAGAAAATGGCGATGTGAATAGAGAAATGCAACTACGTAAAAAGATGGAAGAATCACAAAGAAAACTTGCACAACTACAAGAACATCAAGCTAGCTTGGTGGGAATGCAATTACGTGTTAGAGAAAGATTAAATGAAGCACGTCAAGCTCAACAAGCTCTTTTACAGCAAGAAAATCAAAATTCAATTGGTTTAACATTACCATTACCTGTAAATGTTGAACAACTTGAAAATGAAACAGCTGCATTGAGGGGAAAATTGGCTCAACTTCAAACAAAGAAAAAAAATATGGACCATCTTGTAGCAGAATTACAAGCTGCAGAATCTTTGTCTGATAGGGGTAGCTGTGTTAGTACATTATTATATTAATTTAATACAATTAAAAATAATATAGTTGTAAGTATTTTCTTAATATTATTTTAGAGTTCTGATGGAGTTCCGGGAAGACGTTCAAGAAGAAGTTCTTCAAGGAATTTTGGCAGAGACAAAGCTGCTGAATTAGAAGCTATGAAAGCACAACTTGTTCATTTGAAATCATTAATGGAAGAAGCGACAAAAGGGCAATGTCTCGATTCTAACTCTGATCCTGAACCTGAAGTAGATGTAAATGGTGAAACTACAGCTAATATCGATGGAAATGAAGATGAAAGTGGAACGAACATTTCATTTGAACGTCAAAGCGATGCTGATGAAACAAGTCATGAAAAAATCAGAAATACCGGAGAAAGGCCAACCGTTGAAGAAATTCAGGTATAAATAAATGCGATTAAAAGTTACATGTTATGTTTTGCATAATACCTAATCTAATTCCAATCTGAAATCTAATTTATAGGCAGTTACGCGGGAACTTCGAGAACAATCAGCTTTGTTAATGTCTACTAGAGCAGAATTACAACGAATAAAACAACCATTATCAACAATGCATTCTAATTCTACATCTGTCTTTCCGACATCAACTCCTCCTCCATCTCTTATAGCGTCAACTAATTCTGAGAAAAAGCAAAGTAATAATAATAATTATGAAGTTCAATCTGCTCAGGAAAGAAGACGTCAAATTGATGATATTGTGCGGAAGGTACTTATTTTATACATGATTAATTCAATATTTATTCTATTTATTTTATAATTATTTTATTGAATAATAGGAATCATCTAGTACTAACCGCGATATGGGAGGACCAAGTGATTTAAATAGTCATAGAAGTTCTAGTTCACATGTTAGTCATACAGGTACTCCCGCTAATATTTGGCCAACTCCAACAACGATAGGTAATTAACATATATATTAACATATACATTATACTAATTTTAAAATTATATTTTGATATATAGGTGGATCTAATGATCAAAGTGTAGATGGTATATCCTCCGAAAATTTAATGGACATTGGGCCCCAAACAACAGCAATTGAGAATGGATTCAATGGAAATTGGTGGACATATCCACCGCCTCCGTTAAATCAATTACAACATGGTAAACTATACATAAAATTAAAAAAAATTGTATTCAATATTTATACAATATAGTAAACTTTTAAATACATTTTATAGGTTCAACAGAGTACTACCGACAGTTATTACTAGGTTCTCAAGCACAACAACTTCAAATGATGGGAACTACAATTCAACAATGTTGTCAATTATTATGGTCTCAACAACGTGAATTACAAGCTATGCGTACAGCTATTAATCAGTTACAAGTTCATTTGAGACAAACGCAATTACAGCAGCGGAACAATAGCGAGAATAACGATGAATATTCTAATTTAAGCCGCAATATTCATCATCTTGGTGAAACATTAGATTCTGCATTACCACCAAGTTCATCTTTGCCAAATTTGGTATCATTGCCAAATTCTTCACCTGCATTATCCCATACTGGTGCAACATCTTCTGTCAATTCTCAACATCAGCAACAACAATTAAATAACCAAGTTCCTCCTGGCAATAGGGCAAACAACTACTGGGACAATTTCAGAAGGTAATAGTATACACACACACACACACACACACACATATATATATGTTAATTGATATCAATCATTGTCCACGTGCAGTGAAAGTGTTATTTATATTGATACAACTGAATCATGCACTAAATCGAAATTTTCAATTATGTAATCATTTAATACAAAAATGTATTTGATAAAACTTCAAAATATAATTTGTTTTATGACTTAAGGAATTCAATTTTATAGATCTTTTCTCAACATGAAATCGATATTTCCTTTTGAATTGAATACCATCAAAAAAAGGAAGTATTTTTTTTTAATGGATTTAGATATTTTATATCCAATAGATCGTGCACATCCACCTCCTATCTTTGTGTAAATCTAATGTATCATTGCATAAAGTAATAAACATCACGATCTATCTATGTATTTTTTGTCTTGTACTTTTTACTTATTACTACCCTCGTTTAAGTTATATCACATATAAAACCTGTAAAGATTTGATATTATAGACCAACGTTTAATAAATATGAATCTAAATGAGGATAGTATATTGGTATGTAAATTATAGGTATGTAATATGTGTTTGAAAATATATATATAAATATATATATATATATATTTTTTTTTGAAATATTTTGACTTTAACTAACAATAAACACTCAGTCAATAATAACCAAAATTTGTTTCCTTCTGTGGTATTGTTGTGTTCTTTTCTCAGTTTCTGCAGACAGTGTATTTAAAAACATATAGTTTTCTACCATCTTAACTATATTACACATCTTGCTTCCTTAAGCATGGTATGAATAACTTGAATGTGATTGTATATTTAAGTTGATATACATTTGTTTCTTTCCCACATTTGCAGCTATTCCAGACAAAACTTACTCTCAGGAAGTGCAAAAACTGTGACTGATACTACTCCTGGAGCTATTGCAAATTCAACTTCAGGAAATACTATATCAAGTGTTAATACTTCTCTTATGTATGTAAATATGTAAATTATTTAGAACAAATCTTTGAGAAATTCATAATTTAATGTATTGTATATCTTAATTAAAGCAAAGACAAACGTAATCGGGATCAAGGAGCTGATAATATATCTTTGCCTCCATTAAGTGGAGTAGAAACGCAATATTCTTCAAATTTGCAACTGCAGGCAAATTTACAGCAACAAGAACGAGAGAATAGTGTTATGCGTAGTAATATTTTAACGAATGAAATGTCTCAACAACAAGTTGATAATCTTTGGGAAGAGACAAACTCATCATTTCGATTACCATCTGTAACAAATGATGATAATCCATTTCAGAATTTAAGGTATGTCTTTGCCATTAGATTATTTTTCAATTACTTATTTTCTGCGAAAAATGTACCGAACTGATGTTTTTATAAAATTGATTATATAGCTTCGAAATGAAAGAAGTATTAAGTTCACTCATCTCCGTAAATAAAAAACGACCAGACTATCTGATTATTATATTAAAGGAAATTAAGGCAATAAGTGAAGATCACAGATTGCGTCCTCGTTTATGGAGATCATTGCGTGCTTTACAAGATACACAATCTTTAAGTAATCCATTGGTTTGTACATTTATAAAACATATTTTACAATTATATTACAATTAAATATGAAATAATAATTTTCGAACTAATTATGTTTCTTTTAACTTTTTGCAGAATGAAACAACTGATCAAACTGCCAGTGAAAGCTGTCAATCTAGTGACGAAGATTCTGAGACAGATGTAATATTAGGTTTAAGAGCAAAACATTCTATAGCAGAATTAATTTCATCATCTCAAGCCGGAATTTCATCTATTTCACATGTACCTCTAATAGATCATTTAGACATGCCAGTAAATATCATAAACATATATTTAAATATTAGAAAAAATAATATTTTATATTTATTGTGTATATTTTATAGGGGACATCTTCAGGTAATTCTACAAGTACTTTGCCTTTAACATCTTCCATTAAACCAGGTTACAACGAAGATTTGGCAGAAGCAGATCAATCAAGACCTGAATCTTCTGGTAATCAACAGGTATTTTAAAGCCAATTAAATAAATGAACATATAATTAACATGATAAAATAATATATAATTAAATATGATAAAATGAAATATATCTGTAGCTTCCCGAAAATGAAGAAGAGAGAGAAAGTCAAGGTGAAGCAGCTGGTCAAACTGAATCTGCACAAGCTAGATTTGATGGTGAAGGAGATTTGGAAAGTTTAGCTGCTAAAGCTGAAGATGAGAGAAATGAGGACAATTCAATGCTATTTTGATATTGAATTACATTAAAAAATATTTTTAGTTGTATACATAATAATTGAACATATGTTTTAAGTTTAATACAGATTTTTTTTAAACTGAATTATACCGTGAAAAGCATTATATCATTTAACCCCTAGATGGAATTATGATCCTTTTGTAAATTTATTCATTTACACATTAATTTAAATATTTTTTAATGTTAATAATATATTATACAATTATAATAAAAATTGTAATTTAGAAAAGTAAGTATTTATTTTTTATTATATGGTACAATGTAATGACATGCATAAGTGCATAGTAAATGTATGCTTTGTGAACAAATACAAAAAATATAAACATTACAAATGTTATTTAATTATTTTATTTAATTTAAAATTCTGTTTCAGTATCATCGTTACTAACCAGTTGCAATCTATGAAACTGGTACATTGAACATCCATGTGTTTCAAATAAAATTTTCTCATATTCAATAGTGTTTTCAATTGCTTTATTCTCACTATTGAATGATTCTTGATAATTTGAATTATTTAAAATATTGTGATTACCTGCTATCCAACAGCAGTTTTCATTTGTAATCATAGATTCTTCCATATTGTTATTAATGTTTAATGTTTCAGATTCATAAGACATAGTAGTTGATCCACAATCCTTTGTACTCCCTGTATCACCAAGTACATAGTCCTTACCACCGCCTCTGAAAGGAAACCCACAGCCTTAACCCTTAATTTAGCTACATATCTCCTACGCCACTTATTTGTTCAGCAAATTGTGTCCTTACCATCAAAAAAAGACCAAACTTACTAAGTGTCATTAGTTTATGAAAAAATATTAGCATCCATGCTTTCCATTGCATACCATTATCCATGGTGCAGAAGATGACAGGATGCATTAAGCTTCAAAATAAATTTAATGCCAGGATCGGATGAAAATCTCTGTGGTCACATATAAATATACAACCTTTTTCCCATAGAAGGGAAAACTGAATATTCATATATTTCAATATTTATTATTAGCGGGTACAATGACGTAGCGACTAAATAAATTTCATAGTTACTTTAAAAGAATTTAAACAAAAATTCTTTCTTCCTTTTTTTAAACTTTTTCAAAAAGAGATACTCGATATAAGTCTAAAGAATTCATTACAATAAATATCTTCTCGCGCTTAAAAGTCTCCCGCTTAAAAGTAAAGAAGAACAAACAACGACCTCTAACAAGATCTATTTGAAGCATATACGAATATAAATTGATGAGACCGCGGTTTTATAAAATACATTAACAAACAGATCATTGACACGTTTTTATTTATTCTTCACAGAAGGGACGAAAAAGATGAAATTATAAATCCATTTTTACCTCTCCGAAACTTTTTCAGTTGACATGTAGAGTTGAGATCGCTGCTGTGTCGTTTCCGATTCCTGCGTTGAGGCACATCCACATCATGAACTGCTCGTTGTACAACTTGTAGTTTTCCATGAGCTTTTAACCGGTTCTGTACCGCTGCTTCTACAATTGCGGAATCATTATTCAAATAGTCTGATGCCATTGAATAATCACATCCGTCTTCATCAGTTTCCATCATCGTATCACAGGAACAGTAATTAAACGTCGGAGGTTTCACAATTTCGATATGCTCGAATATAACTTTATGCTGATTTTCTTTTTTACAATGAGGTACGCAACTATAATACACGTTTGACGACATGAACGATGGAGCGACAGTTCCTGCGTTATACATAGCATTACTTGTTACAGCCATAATTATTCTTTTTTGTAACCGATTTTCTATATTGCACCGAATAGTATAAAAGCACTTTATTATATATCACTCAGTATCAGACGTTTAATCACGATAGAAACAAATAGAAAACATTGACTGAGAAAACGTTAACACTCTCCAAGTAACGAATAACGAATGTGGTTCGGGTTCGGGTCAGAAGCCGAGTCTGCTCGAGCAATGAATCGACAACGTTCGGCCTTTTTCGTATGATTTAGTTCGTTATTTTAAATCCCCATCAACATTCAACCCACGTATGAAAATTTATATCGTGTGCATCAGAATCTGACTCAAACTTTTAAAACTGCATCTGAGTAATAAATTTATTTTGATTCTGATTTTCAAATAATCGAAATAAGATGAGATTATTCTCGTTTCTGAAAATTTACGGTTCCTCATGATATTTATCTTATCCTATGAGATGATCCTATTGGTCAATTTAATGAACAATTAAATATAATGTTAATATAATGAACAATTAAATATAATGTTAATATAATGAACAATTAAAAATATATTAGTTAGGGACAGATTAAGGAGATTAGAGAAAATGAAACATTTATGAATCATTGAAAACATTCATTTACTTTTTAACATCTAAATAAATGCAATTTTTTTTTTGAAGAATTTATATCATAAAATCGATTTTCAAAATGAATATATGCTTAGTTAGTACTATAAAATTTTTATCAAATTAATAGAAAGAAAAAATTTAGAACATAATTAGAAAGATTTGATAAAGAAATTCATAGATTAATCCTGCAAAAGCATTTTTTTATTTTTTGGAAATTTGTTTGATTAATTAGTCAATAATTTTAACTAATGACTGTAGAAACAATCCCCTACTGACGAAATGATAAAACTGTTTTATGTCGAAATTAAAAAATATGAGTTTTACATTTTTATACGGTTAATTTACATTGTGCATATTTATGTATTTTATATGTATGTATTTTATATATTTATATTTATGTATTTTAGAGCATGAAAAGTTATTTTTATGTATTTATGTATAGTTCACGAAAAATTAAACATTGTTTCAATGAAATTTTCGGATCATTCAATAGAATTTAAGAACCTTTATTCATGCATTTTAAATAAAATAGACGAAAAAAGTTAAAAGTTTAATACTGAAAATGCAATCATAAAAATTTATAAATTAATTCTGATTTTTGCAAATGAAAATTTAATCAATTCATGGATATTGAAGCACTAGCGCCGCATGGCGGTCAAGTGGTGGCACTAATGTCGTCTTATTAAAATAAAAAAAATTACCGGTTTATAAATCGAAGTTTTAAACAATTTGGAAATTCAATTAAAAGTTTTAATTGCTAGGAATTCTTTCTATACGATATTACTTTGATTTTTTACGTAATTAATTAATTAATACACAATTAGGATAAAATTCCCTATTTGGACACACGGACGAGGTATATAGGATATTTCATCCTAATTCTGTGTAATCAATTAATTACCTAAAAAATCGAAATAATATCAAAAAGAATTCTTAAAAATTAAAACTTTAATTTAATTTCCAAACTGTTCAGAACGGCTTTAGACTGATAATTCTGATTTTTTAATTTTATAAAAAGATTAGTTCTACCTTTCTACCACTATGTGGCGCTAGTATTTCCAACATAGAAACATTCATGAAACATTCAATCAAATTTTTATTTGTAAAAAAAGAACTAATTATTAGGATTAATTCGTGATCTTTCGTAATTGCATTTATCTAATTGAAGTTTTAATTTTTTTTTGTTTTATTTATTTTATAAATTTCGAAATGAAATTTGAACTTTGTGCTGATTTTGTATAGTATTTATAATAGAAATATTTTATTGAATCTGGTGAAGATTATTTTAGAGTAAAATCGTTCATTATAAACATGAAGAAGCTTAAGTACTCACAAATTATGTAAGTTAAATTCATTAAATTAACAGAACATAAAACTAAACCTTAAAATTAAAACGTACTTTTTTGGTTTAAATCACAGATGAGGTATATGAATATACATTGCATGACCACGAATTTTCACGACCATGGTAATAAGATTGACATAACCTTACCATTTTCGTGTCACATCCTGTTGTACCGATTTTGCAACCGCAGCACTACTAGTGGGGAAAATTAAAATTAAAAAAATATGAACAGTGTTGCCAGATCTGTTCCGAGAATTATTTATTGAATTGAATGGTACTTTATCAATGAAGGAATATAAATAGCGAATTTAAAACAGCGACTAATGGAAATTGGAATGAAAAATTTAGTACATATTTGACTATTAACATGACTATTTAAAAATATTAGAAAAGATTGATTGAAATATAATAGTTTTATGAACAACATAATTAACTATGACGTCTTTTTCTTACAAATGTGTAAATTCACAACATAAATGAATTATCTTTATCCCGTAAACTCGATTTTATGAAAATTTTAACTTATCAATAAAATATTTCTGCAAATATTGTTTGCAATAAAGAAGCACATTATGTGTTGTAAATTATTTCTTGCAAAATTCATCCGTTTCGAAATTTCGAAGTCTAATTTATTTTTTTAAACGATATATATACATATTTTCTTTCTTACAGTACAGATGTTATTTATTAAGGCGAACTCAATGAGTTACATTTCGACGGCCGAAATTATTTACTGTTATAAATTATTAATAAAAATAATATGAAGTATAAGTGACTCAATGATACATATGTTAGTATTAAGATTTTATGTTAATATTTTATATATTAGCATTAAATTAATTGCTCGTTCGTATTTTCTTCCATTCTGATTGCAGATGAACCATTTTTTCGTTAATTTTAACGATCCTTAAATATTATTTAGAAATCGATATCCCGAACGAAAAAATTCAACGTACCCGTTAGAAAAAAATCATCGAAATCGGTAAGGGAGTAATCATACTTTCACCAACTTTGCCTTCGTTATTGTGCATAATGACGAAAAAAAAGCGAATTAAAGGGGCACAGGTAAGTTTCGGTTTTCCTGACGAAAGCATAGTCGCTAAGATCTAAAAGGGTTGCCACATTTCTGTTACTGTTCTA